TAAGGACACCCACTGCATAAGCAATATCAGGCCTGGTCATAGACAAATACAAGAGTCTCCCTACAAGTCTCTGAAACTTCTTCACATCTTTCAAGAACACTCCCAAATGATGGTTAGGTTCAATTGGTGAGTCAATTGGTCTCACCCCCAGTTTTCCTGTATCTTCTAGTAGATCTAGTACATATTTCCTTTGGGAAATAAAGATGCCTTGTGAGAGCGGGCAACTTCAATTCCAAGGAGATAGTCAGGGAGAGTTCTTAGCTACTGGGGCAAAAGTCTCTGCATAGTCCACTCCATATACTTGTGTAAAACCTTTTGCCACCACTCTGGCCTTGTACCTTTCAACAGTTCCATCAGCCTTGTGTTTCATTGTGAACACCCACTTGCACCCCATTGGTTCCTTCCCTTCAGAAAGATCCACCAACTCCCAAGTGCCATTTTTGTGTAATGCATCAATCTCTTCCTTCATTGCATATATCCATTCAGGTAGTTGAGTCTGAGCCTGTTTCTCCTCAACCCTACTCTCCCCCTGAGGAGAAACCGAGAACAAAGGTTGATTCTCAAAGGACACATCTATTGCGACATAGTACTTACGAGAGACGTGATCATAGAAAGGGTACCCCTTTTGAGATAGAGGGTAACCAAGGAAGACACAAGGAATAGCACGAGGATCAAGTTTACCCCGAGTAGGTGACAAGTTGTGAACAAAGCAACGACACCCAAAAACACGCATTGGAATGGGGAACAACGGAGTTGTAGTAAACAAAAGCTGATGTGGGGCCTTATACTCTAGTAACCGAGAGGGCATACGGTTGATGATGTACATAGCACACAGAACAGCATCCATCCAAAAGCGCTTTGGAACATTCATATGGATTAACAAGCCATGAGCTACTTCAAGAAGATGACGGTTTTTTCTTTCAGCAACACCGTTTTGTTGAGATGTCCTAGCACGAGCTTCGTTGAAGTGATCCACTCGAAGCAAAGAATTTTGTGAGATCACTATGGAAGTATTCCTTTGCATTGTCCGACTGGAAAATATGGATTTTAGTTTGGAACTAAGTGAACACCATGCGCTGAAAGTCTTTCGCAATTTTAGGCACTTCCTCTCTAGATCGCATAGGGTAAACCCAGGTGTATCTAGAGTAATCATCGATCAAGATAATGAAATACTTATATCCAACCTCAGTAGGTAGAGTAACAGGGCCCCAAACATCAGAATAAACAATATGAAACGGAAATTCAGATCTTTTATTTCTCAAAGGAAAAAGAGCTTCTACAATGTTTACCCAATTGACATGTCTGACATTGCAACTGACTCACTGACAAAGACTAAAACAACTTTGGAAACATAACTTTTAACGACTCAAAAGAAAGATGACCAAGACGACTATGCCATAAATAGGCTTGACTCTCACTGGACGAACTCAAAGACTCTATAGCCACAAGACTAGCTTTATTCTCCAACATGTAGAGGCCATCCACCATGCTTCCTCTACCAATCGTCTTCCCCGAGGCCAAATTCTGAAACACACATGAAGACGGATAG